CCCCGCCCAGACAGTTACAGATAGAATACTGGACTCCTGCAGATGCACACATGCTCACACTTCTTAAAGACTGAGATTTTCACTGAGTTGCACTTTAGAATGGGACTATATTCTTCTGCTGCTAATATGCTATTGACCTGATTAGGTCCCATACATCTTCATTTTTAGCTGATCATATTCTTATATTGACTGTACAATTCTTGTGTTATTTATGTAAATAATGTGCCTTATAAGCCGAGAGCTGCTGGAAGAAATTTTGTTGTGCATAATAATGACATAATGACAAAGATTCTTGACTTAACTTAACTTAGTTAAAGGTTAGCTCAAATGCTGCTATGTTGTATAGTGTTGGTCCTACAGTGAGAACACTCAATTGTCAGCACAATAGTTCAACTGACAAGCAAATCTAGTGACAGCAGCACTGCTCCGACCACATAAGCAGCTTCCTCTGGCACAAAAACCCCACTGAACTCTAGAGTCAGCAGTCTCCATTGGCTAAAAGCTGACAGCACTCATCCAAACAGAAGAGAAAGAGCCAGAAAAACTGAAGTTTGAGCAGGTTCACTGGCTACAAAATAAGTCTGTAAACCCCAAAACTGTCCTATTGTATTATCAGGGGGAGTGTAGATTTAGCACCAGCAAGCCAGGTCCAACAGGATAGATGTTAATCCTGCAGTGTATAGCATTTAATAAGTATATGCATGGTTGTTCGTATCAAAAACATCTACATCTGTCAGAAATTCCTGGTTGGGATAACTGGAATCATGGGTTGAAATGTCATGTTACCTGGAATAATCGATGTTCCGTGTAAATGTACAGTGCCGAGGTGACCTGACCACAAACGTTAGCCTGCTCCTAGTCCTGTTAAGGTCTGTCACCCACTGCGTGGGCGAGATACCGACAACACCATCTCACACAGGTCGACACTACTACTAGCTCAGCGACTTCCAACAGATTTTTAAAAATTCTCTTCCCAATAGGTCGCGTCGACATACGATTGGCTGCTGAAATTAAGTGAGAGCTTGTGAATTAGTTATGTATTTAACGTCAGCTTTGAATGGTAAGCTGACGTCGAACAGGTAATAAATACCACATGTGAAAATGTCGCATTAAGTTCAACCATAAAACTACATGGGGCCTTTAGGTCAGTCTTGAGCACAGCACCACATCGCAGCTACAAAAACTTACACCTTTGTGTCACAGCAGTTTAATTATTGCAATACTGCAACTAAGTGCGTTATTATTTTGGAGAACGACTGTGGAAATTTCAAGAAAAGAACTCCTCGGTCGAAAACAACTCGAGTTGCTTGGCGTAACATTTCTCTAGATTGCGTCATTAAACTGACAACATATCATAAGCCATGACTGACATATGTTCAATGTATCCGGTTTGACAATAGTTTCAGCTAGACATTAGCTTATACGTTGTCGTCCTCCTCACACTGCGACTACCAGCGCAGCTACACATCCCGTCCCCTTGATGTCAAAGGCGGGTGCTAACAGAATAGTCCAACAGGACTTATATTGGCAACACAACCAGTCGATGTGCGGTATCAGCCTATAAACTCACCTTGTGGTGTTTTCAGGACACTATTAATAGCATTTTAAAATTGTGATTTCTCTCGAATACAGCTGTTGCTACTTTTGTCTAATCCTTTACTGTACTGCAGCAGCCATGTTGGGCAGCATTCTGCCTAGAAGAAGAAATTGTGTGTTGTGATTGGACGGCACTAGAGTACTTCTCCCGCCGATTGGCTGAGAAAGGAGAAGCTTTTTTTATATATAAGTGTTTATGTTCCACTTCAGTACGGTGGCCGAAGGGTACAATACACAATATTTTGCAACACACACACACACACACATAGACATACATACATGTCTTTATGCCTTTGTGTGGCCCACATTCTGTGACTTCTTTGTGAGGGCCACCACTTCCACTATAGCTACAATGGTGCAAAACACAAATCTATCATGAGGTGGCAATAGAGAATCAAAATGTCACTTCAGAATTCAGAAAACGCGAAATAAAATAAAAAAAAATCTTTTTCAGCTACACATGTGAGGACCGGAGCCTGTTGCCAAGCAGATTTGGCGAACTGAACCTTCTGTCACAAAGCACCAAAACAATGCATGTTATATCACCAGATTTTAGCAGATATTTCATAATTGTCCCATCTTACTTTCCTGGTTAATCCAAACCACAACATTACAGAGATGGGAGCATGTGGTTTTTAATTTTGCCAATGTAAAGTGTATTTAACCCTTGTGTGGCGTTCACTTTTTGGACCGGAGGTGTGTGCTCCTCCCTGGGTAAACTGTGTGACAGCTTCATACCATAGGAGTCATGAGCTGGTTCCAAAGACTTCTCATTGAAGAGTTCTGTGTCAATTTCACTGACTTGAGACTTCTGTACAGCTCTAACTTCAGAAGACAAACCACCTGTTTTGATAAAAACAACATTTTGTGAACTTATCTTATTTCACATACTAAAGTGGCGAGTAGAACAAAAAACAAAAACAGCATTTTTAAGTAGAAATTGCATTCTATTATGAAATCTATTTTCTACTCACTTTGTATGCCCAAATCAGTCTCATTAAGAGATTTGCCTTTGTAGACCTCAGTTCCACGTTCGATTGCCATGAGCAGCTTGCTCATCTTTGCAAGCTGAAGTGTGTTCTCGGTTAGGCGATAGTATTCACGATGAACACGAATATCATGTCCCATAAATTTGGCAAGTTGATCCAACTCATTTTCTTTCAGGTTCATTATCTGACTAAGTTACTCATTACTACCCAAAATGCCATTGTCGTCACCCCTCTGCTCAATGAGGAAATCAAGTTATTTTGTCATCTCACTGGTAAGCAGCATAGGTACTTTATGACCTCTCTTCCCTCTTATCACCAACCTGGTAAACTCATGACTCAAATCTTGTTCCAGTTTTGAAAGGCACTGCATAATGTCCTCATTTGGTTCTTCTTTGGTTCTCTTCCTATAGGTCAACAGAGGCAATTTTGCTGCCTCACCTTGCCGTCTTCGGTTGAAAAGTGTGATTTGTGAGAGAAGGCACTCACTGAGAATCTTGTATGCTTGAGGGTTTACTTTCATTGCAGCTTATCCTGATAAACTTTAGTTTTGTCCAAACACAAGAAAGAAGTGTCGTCTCTGTCTTTTCTGACATGTCTTTAGGTTTTCTTAAATGTAGTTGTGTTCTGTGAATATTGTTGAGGTTTGAAGAAAATGGTGAGGCTTGTGTGTGTGTGTGTGTGTATGGGTTTGTCTTTATATACTTGTGCGAACCAACCCCTGACGGAACACCTTTCTTGTGTGGACATTTCTTCCTGTGTGGACCTTTTGGGTGGTCCACACAAGGAAAATGCTAGGATAGGCTCCTTTCATCCTAAAGAATGAGCTGTCTAAATTTCAGAAGATGTCCACATACAGAGAGTAAAGTCAGAAAAATGTGTGCCAGCTTGTGCTCTAAAAGTATCATGCTCCGATTAAATACTGCTTAAGCTGAATTCATGCAATACTGCCTGTCTACCCCTGTCTGTGCCCTTTTAAGGCATAGAGGATCACAGAATGAGTTTTGTGAATGAATTATGCATGTACACACACACACACACACACACTGCATATCCACGCCCTTACTCCTCAGACAATGGCAAAAATCCCAAAGAAAAAAGAATTAACAAAACATTCAGTGTGTTTTAGTCCTTTTAGTGTTTGTTCTTGTACTGGCCTATCATTTTCTCCTATGAAACCAAAAAAAACAAAAAAGATCAGTGAGCCCATTGGTGTAAATACAGCTTCTAGAGCCTAACGTTGTTGTTAATATGCACATTTGATTTTTAATATTTTTAAGGCAACATGACTATTCACTTTTCTCACATCTCCTGAATCAGTGGAAGCTGATGTATGCTTTATTTGTAACTCTCTCTGAATTTTACAGATGATGAACAGAAAAAGGAAGGCACAAGAGGAATTGGTATGTATATATTTATGCTTTTTATTTTGTTGTGGGCTACAGCAATGCAGCCAACTGCAAAACTTTATAGGTTCATTATTTGAATAACTACTATTCTAATCTGCTTGTTCTTTCAGGAGGACTGTGCCACAGATGACTCTCTGTCAGAATCCATTCCTGACCTGAAAGGTGAATATATCCCATCATCTGAAGAAGGCCCCTGCAACACAAACAGCAATGATGGGAATCCTGATGACAGTGGTGACAATGAGGATGAGGGTAGGACAGTGGTTACAGTGAAAACCTGCCACAGGGTCAAAATAGAAGTGGGACAAGCGTCATTACTGTGTATACTGCAAAAAACCACAAAGTAAAATGGCACGGCATCTGAGGTGGAAACACAGCAGTGAAACAGAAGTGGCCCTAGCAATGTGTCTTCCATCAACATCAAAGAAGTGTCGCCAAACATTTGAGCAACTTTAGGTGTGTGTGTGTGTGTGTGTGTTTGTGTCTGGCACCCTGATCTTGATCAAGGTGCGCTAATCAGTGGGTGGCCTGAATTGCAGGCCTCCTGTGTGTGTAAGACACCCCCTGCTGAGGCAGAACTTGGGATATGCTATGTGAGTCTAGGTGTGGGTGTGAAACAGGCTAGCAGGGTTTTGTTAAAATGTTAATAGGCTGTCTGGTCACAAGGAGATGCAGATATCCTAGTCTCTACACAGAAGTTACAGTATTCAAAGTAAGCAGATTCTACTTGATTCTCATCAATGCAGTTGTAAGATATATAAGCAAGGAAAACAAATGTATTAAGAATAACCAAAGCTCAGTAGTTCTGGACAATCATCAATACAGCTGTAATATGTATAGACAAGAAAAATAAAATTATGAAAATTAACTAAAGGGAACTACAGGTATGAGAAGTAACTAAAGCTGATAAAGTAACTAGAGTCTCTAAGACTCAAATCTTACAGATTTCAGTTTGTAGTAAGGACAAAATATCAAGATTGAAGACGATAAATAATGATCACATGGAAGTGTTGCATTTATTTGACTGTGTTAGTCACCTTTCATGTATTAGATTTGTCAAAATGGAGTCAAACTATCAGTAGTTAAGCTGCTCATTATGAAGCAAAATGAGATACATTTCTACATTACATTGCTGGATTATTTCTTGCTGCTGCATTAATGTTGAGGGGCATTTTAATGCTGTGTTTTGGTCATGTTAGACCCAGTTCTTTAATTGAAAGCCCAAGAAGTGAAAACAAAAGAGGACTGTATAAAATCAACAGAAATTTATTCGAAGTCTAGTCACATGTGAAGCCATTACAGCACTGGGCTCTGAGCGACAGAACTTCCGCAGGAAGTCTGTCACACAAAAGCTCCCGACTATTGTCTGTAGTTCCATTTATCTTCGTGGGCGGGAACCACCCCAGACAGAGGTTGGACTTACATGTACTCTAACGCTATTGGCCATAGATGTGAGCAAGTTAGCCTCTGCTCAGGTCAGCTACTAAATATGCAAATCAAATTGTTAGAAATTACCTAGAAATTCTCCCAGTTCTTTTGCTGGAAGCAAGAGAAGTGACGACAGGAGAGGACTGTTTAAAATCAGCAGAGAGTTTACTGAAAGTCTGATCACAAGAAAGTCTTACAGCGCTGGGATCAGAGAGACAGAGCTCCCGCAGGAGTTCCATCCAATGACCCCGAATTAAGGTCTTGCAATACATTTTATCTTCTTGGGCTGCTCTGCCCTAAACAAAGGTACAACAATTCATGCATTGTAATCCTATTGGTCATTTGGTGTGAGCAGGAGCTCGCACCTCCTTGCTGGAATGTGATCTACACTAGGTGTGTGTGTGTGTGTCTCCGGCACCCTGATCTTGATCAAGGTGCACAGAACAATGGGGTGGCCTGAGTTGCAGGCCCCCTGTGTGTGTGTGTGATACTAATTTGTATGTTAAACTGGCCTGGTGGTCATCTCAGGTTGTGGGCCCCCGGCCTCTGCAGGACATCCCAAGATAAAGCAGAACTTGGAATATGCTAAATGAGTCTAGGTGTGAGTGTAAAACAGGCCTTTGCTAAAATGTAAATAGGCTGTCTGGTCACAAAGAGATGCAGACATCTAGTCTCTACACAGAAGTTACAGCACTCAAAGTAAGCAGATTCTGCTTTATTATAGCTGTAAGATATACAGTATATATAAGCAAGGGAAACAAATGCATTAAAATAACCAAAGCTCAATAGTTCTGGACAATCATCAATACAGCTGTAATATGCATAAGCAAGTTAGATCAAGTTATGAAAGGTAACTAAAAGGAACTTGTTATATCCAGTACTTTTTACCATACTGACTGAGAGACGAGGCAGTCCAAGTAACTACAAAACAGTGCTGATTTTTTTCCATGAACACAGGTAAAAATTAACATTACACGCTCAGGCATCTTGCACCTCTAAACTGCATGCAGGTAGATGAAATTTGAAAGACCCCGAACCACAACAGGCCTGTACATTATATTGCTTTAGGCTAACCCCATTCTACCCAGGCTACGTCAAACCGTGATGTCACCTGATATGCCAGCTATGCAACTGGCCGGAGCAGTAGTCAAAGCATAAAGAAAATCAATGTGTGTGTGTGTTGATTAAGTGGTGTGTATCTAAAAACATTCTGACAGGACATTCAGTGACATGTCCTGACATTAGGCATAAGAAGATATTATGATTATGATTAAACACGTCATACAGTAATCAACTCTATCTAGTTATCTGTAAGATCCCGTTCTTGCTACCATGCTAACTCTGAGAGACGAGGCAGTCCAAGTAACTTCAAAACAGTGCTGATTTATTCAAAGGATCACAGGTAAAATTAACATTACACGCTCAGATATCTTGCACCTTGTTAGGTAATTTCTTAGTCAGATAGATATTGGTTAGAGATTTGTTGTCTAGAAATGTTTAGTGGAGACAGGATGTCTAGCTCAGGCTGTTAAATGCTTAGTCATTCTTATGAGCTTTCTGCAGGCTGCATAGAGGCAAAGGACAACTAGATAGAAGAGTCTGCAGGCAGGAGGTTATTGTTATTATTATGATATGTTCAGTCGTAATCTTAATCATAATATCTTCCGAGGCTTACTGTTCGGACATGTCCCTGAATGTCCTGTATGTTTTTAGATACGTACCACATAATCAACACTCACACACACATTGATTCTCTTCATGTTTTGACTATTGTTATGGTCAGCTGCAAAGCTGGCATATCAGGGGACGTCACGGTTTGGGGGTGGAAGAGATCTAGACGTGTAATGTTAATTTTACCTCTGATCCTTTGAATAAACCAGCACGGTTTTTTATATAATCCAAGTGGTCTACTTCGTCTTTGTGAGTTCCTGGTTTAAAAGAGCCGGAAGAGGCTAATAACAAAAATAGCTTATAACCTCCAACATGCACGCAGGCAGTTGTAAGATGAAAGACCCTGAACCGAACCCCTCGGTTGGGCTAGCCCCATACCACACAGAAACGTCAACCGAGACGTCTCTCACCAGCTTTGCAGCTGGCTCTAACAATAGTCAAAACATGAAGCAAATCAACGTGTGAATGTGTGTGTCTGTTGGTTAAGTGGTGTGTAGCTTAAAAACATTCTCACGACCTCTAGTACATGTCGTGACTCAAACATAGGAACATTATGGCTAAGTCTACAGTTATGCACATCATAATAATAATATTAAACACCCTGTCTGCTGACAGTCAGCAACTCTTCTTTCTGGTGGCCTTGACCAGATGTACCCTGCAGCAACTCATATGCAGGCCTAAGCATTTAACAGTCTAACTAGACATCCTCTCTCCACTAACATTTCTAACATTTCTAATACATAAAGTATCTATCCAATATCTATCTGACTAAAAATATCTAACATATCCTTGACCATAAACAACCTGGAGTAACTCATGAAAATGAGTAAGCATTTAACAGCCTGAGTTAGACATCCTGTCTACACTAAAAACATTTCTAATACAACAAGTGCCTAACCAATATCTATCTGACTAAAAATACCTAACAAACTACAGGTATGAGAAGTAACTAAAGCTGATAAAGTAACTAGAGTCTATAAGACTCAAATCTTACACTACATAGACACTTACTTCTTTCTTTGTTTCCAACTAACTGCTCCATGTTAGGCATTGCTTTTCGGTTCCAAATAAACTGCTCTGCCTGTGTGTGCGCATGTGTGTAATGGTTCTACCTTTGAAGTTTTCTCCTCTTCCTGGCTTCAAATCTAATCTCTGTTTTCTACCCATAGTGTCCCAGTGAACCCTAATTCCCCTGGTCTCATCTGCCAGGTGGTGATAATAAAGTAACTGTGGACCCTCTTTGCCAAAGCTGTAAACGTAATGAGATTCAGTGTTTTAGTGAACCAGTCCCTTTGATGTTAAACAGTGCTCCAGTTAGCTTACACAATAAATATTGACCAGTGATTCAGTGAACACATAGGGTGATATGTAACTACATGAACATAACTGTAAGATTAAATTATATAGACTTGTGTGTTATATAATAAAAAACCATAACTAATCCTATTCATATCTATGTAAAAATAAAAATCACTCTAATACCCTCACAAAGAACTCTCAGAACGTGGGCCACACAAAGGCATAAAGACATGTATGTGTGTGTGTGTGTGTCTCAGTTTGGTCTTAATCAAGCGCACAGAACAATGGGTTGTCTGGGTTGCAGGCCCCCTGTGTGTGTGATGCTAATAAGTATGCTAAACTGGCCAAATGGTCATCTCAGGTTGTGAGCCCCCCTGGTGAGGCAGAACCTGGGATATGCTATGTGGGTCTAGGTGTGGGTGTGAAACGGGCTAGCAGGGCTTTGTTAAAATGTAAATGAGCCATCTGGTTGCCTGGGGGATGCCGACATTCAGAAGTTACAGAAAGTAAGCAGATTCTGCCTCATTACAATTGTAAGATATATAAGCAAGGAAAATAAATGTATTAAAAAGTAACCAAAACTCTGTAGTTCTGGACAATCATCAATACAGCTGTAATATGTATAAACAAGGAAAATAAGGTTATTAAAGGTAACTAAAGGGAACTAAAATAATGAAAAGTAATTAAGGGGAACTAAAGGTATGAGAGGTAACAAAAGCTTATAAAGTAACTAGAACCTCTAAGAATCAAATCTTACAATTCCGTCTTATATATTTCTTTTTAAAATATTCATCTTTTTTCAGCAAATTTTGCCACATTCAAATGAATGGGAAAAATGTTCACATCTTACTATGTTAAGCATACTTTCAGATAGAAACACCATGTCAGCTGTTAATTAATTGGCAACTCTTCAGCTATTGATACTGTAAACAGATATTTGATATCGTTTTTTTTTTTTTTTTTTTTTAATTGATTTTTACACATTTACCCCCGCAG